GGGTGCTAGAAGTTCCCTCCAGCATTGCACATATTTCTAAGGACAGTTTTTACCCATTTACTTAATGCTGATAATGACAGAAAAAGAATAATAACAGAAAGACTAACTGCACTAGCAAGTAGAGCTGAGATTAGAGCAGTGGGAGGTAACAATAGTACACACAAGTACCAAACAGGTATAACACAGTCAGCGATAGGTCAAGTTTCCATATCTGTCATATTTACATCAACTGTACACTAAGTAGATCACAGAGGTAGGTGAAATTAATTCCTTCTTCAAAATGTGCTCTGCTGGAACTCATCTGTTCTTGAAATCTTCTACAGGCAATAAAACCTGTTTGATTTTCTACCATGCATATATGGAGGTTTTTGTGAATGTAGATTTTTAATAAGATTATCATGTGAACATATCTACTTGCCATTTTATCTTTAAAGTGATTTTTTTCCAATCCTATCATTGCCTTTTGCACTGAACCCAGCAGATCCTGGAATCCTCTACAGTTTCTTTAATTTGGTTGCTTTTTATTTTATGCTGGTACTGTGACTTTCTCAAACCTGAAGATTTTGGAAAAGTGCCCGTTATAACTTGTTCTATACTTCCAAACCTGGAGAGTTTTGAAAAGGCATAGGATAGAAGAAAGAGAAATTCACAAAACTCTCAGTGTTTCTGTGTCAGAACATATGTGGACATTATTCACCTTCACTGCACTTACTGAAAAATATGGAAGTCATAGGGATAACAGGTTTTCTGGAGAAAAAAAAAAAAGTTCTTCCCTAAAATGTATTGTTAAAGGCTTATCCAAGTTAAACCAAGAGGGTGTGAACAAAACAGCATGGAAAAAAATTGCTTAAATACTTTATCATGGTCCATAGACACAAACACTGATGCCAGTGAAGGCGGAAAGCGGGGTAAAGATGGAGTGAAGGCACTGCTTCAGAAGGCCTTGCCAATTTAAGCCGATTTGAGGTGTATGTGAGTGACAGCTTTACAGGGCAGTTTTGGCAAGCAACCCTCACCCATCTTCCTTCTCTTTCCCTTTACTCTTACTTTCCTTGGCCCTCTGCAAGCCTGCTAAATTCACTAAAATCACAGAAAATAACAACAAAGAAACAAAAGCTATCTAGCAAACTAAGACACTTCCATGAAAAAGTTTTAGACATATAACATATACACAAGGATGTAAAAAAATAATTTGAATATGTGTTGATGCTGCTCTCAGCAGTTTGTAATGAAGCAAGTAAAGGACAGTTTATGCATGTTTCCTAAAATGTAAGACTTCTTCCCTCAGCATTTTTTGTCTTTTAAATGACTTTATCATGAAGCACAGGATAAATGTTATTAGCATTCACTTTCAACACAAAAGTGGCTTAGTTGTTGTCTACATTAATTTAATTTATCACTCCAAGCAGAGACTGCTCCACACTGACTCCTAGTAGCCATAGAGCAGTTTCTACACACAAGGGAATGTTTTGCCTGAAGAAATTATGTGTGGCTATTAAAAAAACAAAAAAAACCCACAACCCGACAAGTTTTTATATTGATCTTTAGAGCAGCAATCTTCACACAGAAAAGGAGAAGTCCTTCTGGGGTGACAGAGTAGCTACTTACTGTGCTTACTGTGAAGAACGTTCCTTTATAGGCTCCTAACTCCAGTTAGAGAGTGGGGAAGGGTGAGTATCTAAATAGAACTATGCTAAAACAGGAAGTAATTATCCCACAGATATAAAATAATTTTTAAACAGTATCTGGGATAAAGACAGGATTCTACTACATTATATTACAACAACAGTCCTTTGGAACAACACCTGTGAGTTGTTACGTATTTGTTGTACATTACAGCTCATTTTTTAGATCGCGTGGAATGCTTTTTTGCAGGGTTCTCAGAAAATGCAGAGTAAAGAACACACAGCAGAAAAACGTATTAGGTGCACCTCTAATGAAATCTATCAATATTACCACAGCTTTCCTAAACATAGCATTTTCACTGCAGTGAAAGACAGAGACATTAGGAAATATGCAAGTAAAACATGACTTTTGTTTTAAATAGGAATTAGGTATTTTAATTGTACTGCATTTTTAAGATGCTAGATTTATTTTTAAATTAATCATAAGTGTTTAAAAGCAAAATCAATGAGTACACTACAGAAGAGATTTGCCAAGGCATGCATGCATACATACATATATAAAGTGTATATATATATATACACACACACATAGAGTGAGGGATAACACAACAGTAACAGTGTAACTAATTTCTAATGTAGGGACTTTTGCATGTTTGTCTCAAATTTATGAGATGTACACACAGAAGATTACAATGTATTAGAGATTACATCTCTCCATTGTCTCTGAGTGATATATTATCAGTACACTCCATTTTCATTCACAGTCTCCTTGGAACATCCCAAAGGTTACTGTAGGATCATGCAATATTAACGTTTCCCTTCTATCCATGAATCAAATCCAGACTCCCCAGATTTTGTTTTTCAGGTCCATCCCACAGTCAGATAATAACATTTTTATGAATATATGGGTATTTCATGTTTAAGTATTATAGAAAACAAGGCACACCTAAATTAGAGGGAAGTATTCAAAGTTTTGTATCCCAAGTCACACAACTTTCCCATAACTTTTCCTTCTTGCTAAGCAGACTAAGTCACAGACTTGTCTCACATGCTAGACCAGGCTAGACATTTTCAATTACATTATTTTTCTTCAAAAGCATGACTCAGTATAATTTAAACTCAATTACATTAACGGTGAAAAGGATAAAATGATTTGTGTTAAAAACTTACTCACTGCCATGTTGACTATGTTTTAACTCATGTTAGAGTCAATGTTTGGACTTTACCACTGTTTTCAGTGAGATATAACACAAGGCTTAACAAGAATATATCTTCCTTTTATATGGAATGGGAATTAATGCAGTTTTGAGACATAGTTCATGGCAAGTTTTCAAGTAATGTTACATGGCTGTAATGCTATCTGTGGATTGTTTAAAGCTTTTATATTTTTAAGTATTTTTTTAACACACAGTGAGTGCTTTGCTTTATACAGACTCCTAACCAAGAGTTACTTTGCTTAATTCTCTTGAGGCAGTCCTTCCTTGTTGAGAACAAGATAGAATCGTTAGGGGTGGAAAGGACCTTAAGATCATCTAGTTCCAACCCCCCTGCCGTGGGCAGGGACACTTTACGCTAAATCATGTCACCCAAGGCCGCGTCCAACCTGGTCTTGAACACTGCCAGGGATGAAGCATTCACAATCTCCCTGGGCAACCCATTCCAGTGCCTCACCACCCTAACAGGAAAGAACTTACATCCAATCAAAACTTCCCCTGTTTAAGTTTTAACCCGTTACCCCTTGTCCTGTCACTACAGTCCCTAATGAAGAGTCCCTCCCCAGCATCCCTATAGGCCCCCTTCAGATACTGGAAGGCTGCTATGAGGTCTCCACGCAGCCTTCTCTTCTCCAGGCTGAACAGCCCCGACTTCCTCAGCCTGTCTTCATACGGGAGGTGCTCCAGTCCCCTGATCATCCTCGTGGCCCTTCCCTGGACTTGTTCCAGCAGTTCCATGTCCTTTTGATGTTGAGCACACCAGAACTGCACACAATACTCCAGGTGAGGTCTCACGAGAGCAGAGTAGAAGGGCAGGATCACCTCCTTCGACCTGTTGGTCACGCTGCTTTTGATGCAGCCCAGGATACGGTTGGCTTTCTGGGCTGCAAGCGCACACTGAAGCCGGCTCATGTTCATTTTCTCATCGACCAACACCCCCAAGTCCTTCTCCGCGGGGCTGCTTTGAATCTCTTCTCTGCTCAGACAGCACCCTGGTGGTGCTAGAGTTTGTATCTGATAAAACTAAAACAGTTTACTTCTTTTACTCGCCTTATCAAATTATGTAGACCTTTTCTTAAGTCAGCAATGTTCACCTTGAGCAGATAAGGGAGGAAAATTAGAAGCTGCTCTCTCAGGTAGCTGCCCCTCTTCAATAGCAAAATTGGAACTTTATCTCGTAGTATGTAGATGTCCCCCTTGGATTCTTCCTTTCTTTTGATTATTCTGTAAAAAGATGTATCCTTTCTGGGAACTAAAAAGGAAGGAGTTAAACAGAAGCTGAAAGGAGCTTATATGAAAAACAAGAGATGACTCTATTGTAGTGGAATTAATCAAACACGGTGATAAGATAGACATATCTAATTTCAGAAGCTGCAGAAAGAATATCTTATCACAGTTGTTTCAGTGACCTCACTTTTTAACTTTCTGGGGAAATGCCCTCAGTGTGCAACCTTACACTGAGGAAAAGGAACCAAAATAAGTAGACAGAACAATATTATTGAGGTTGCCAATGGTTTTTTTAACAGAACTTCTTTTTTTACAGTCCCTGCCTTATAAAAACCAACCCAAATCACCAGTTAGAGAAATTCTAAACTGTTTTCATTTCAAAATAGTTGTATGGACTTACATAAATCATGTGTGGCTGTAAGTCTTAGATGAGAAACTTTTCCATAAGAGAAATGGCAGCATCATGTCCAAACTCCTATATAAGAATGCAAACATACAGTTGTGCATGCCTGTATAAGTAAAAATGGTATCATAACCATTTTTATATGCAATATTGAGGGAAACAAGTTGGACGAGAATATAATAGCAGCAGGATGTTTTATCTCGAAGTCCCTTCCTTAGTAGTCTCAACTAACCATAGGATCAACCTTCAAAGCAGTACAGTGATTCAGCTGAACTCTACTTTTCAGCTGGATCTCAGCAGGGAAAGAAAGGGACAAAGAGAAACAAACCAGCTCAGTTGTTGTAGGAATAACATGTTCTTATGGCAGTGGGATTTAATGTGGATTGTGATTATATTATATTTTATATATATATATATATATATATATATTTATATATATATTTTATATATGAATTATATATTATAATTTCAACTTCTATATAATTATTAAAAAAAAAACAGGTGAAAGTAGTGATCTACAAATAGACTCTTTGAACAGATGTTAGAATTATACTTCCCAAGGAAACAACAGTGAAAACAGAATGGTTTTATTAGCTGCTGTTGTACCCTAACACTAGATTTTAGTGTAGAGATCTGATTCTGATAAAATATTTGCTATTTTATACCCTGTATTTATACTCTATATAATTTGTGTAATTTTGTGAATACAAAAGAGCAACATTTTCCCCATAGTTACATTTGGTGACTTACATTTTGTGACTTTTTTCTTCAGGGGGTGACACTTAAGCAGGTTCAATTCTTCCTGACTCCTTCAAAGACTATGTACGATTCTTTTCTGTGAAAATAATGAAAATAGCATTAGGAGTAGTTTCTTTTCTCAGATGTCTGATAACTTAACTTCGTGTTTCTGCTTTTCCCCTGGAAATGCCCTTCTGCTCCTGTTTATGGCAGTACTTATTCATTACAATTTTATTCACTGTCTTCTGATCTTCGCCTTGGCTTCCTCCATCCGTTATTATTTCAATGCACATGACATAGCTTCTGGCCAAGCCTAGCCATGTTGCTTGATGAATCCTGTGGTAATGCCTATTAATACCAGGTATCTTACTACTTAAAGATTTGTAATTGCACTTTTTATTTTGTCTGAAAGAAGAGTACTTAGCACTTCAGAGTCCCTCTAAGCACTCTTTAATTTATTTTCTAGATCTCCAGATCAAAGACTGTATGATGGAAGTTTTCATACACTGCCAGAATAAAAATATTTAGATAGGTACCTGTTAAGAACCTTCAAAAGAAACTAATTGCTAGAAACTGAACTCGCACTGACTTGCAACACTAGGGAGGCTTCCACACAGATGCTATCATCAGCACTGTGAAGCATCTTTTAATAATTTTGATAAACCTGGCCTTGCAGAAACATTTTATTTTTATTTTTTTTTGCAAAACTGTTTTGCTCTTAACACTGAATAAAACTTGATGGGTATTTTTATGTGCATTAAAATAATGTAGACCAAATGGAAGTTAGTATACAACTGTCTGTGGTATACAGTATACAATATACAACTGTTACCAGTCTGCACACCTATAGCTGCAGTAGATAATGCTTTAATATTGACAATCATAAATTACTGATCAATAATAAAGATATTATGACTAAAAAATGGGCATCTTCTATACTGAAGCTGTTGCACAGAGCACTCTTCTGCTTAAATAGTTTAGAATGTAAGAGATAACCACAATATCATCAGTTAGTAATGCCTCTTAAAGGAAAGAAATATAGTTAAAAGTTTTAATGATACAGATTTCTCTTTAAACATTTGGAATTAAAAATAGAAGATTTCCTACTGTAAGTGCCTGAAGTGCATATGACAGCAATCCTACTATTCAGCTTAATGAGCCTGTCAGCCCAGCATATTAAGCAGTTTGCTTTAAGTATCTTCAATATCATGTAGATCTAAAATGTTAATGGTAAGCAAGAGTTTGGAAAATGTAATAAGGGACAGTTTTCTGTATAAAAAAAAAATCTTCTGTCATCTGCTATTTGTCTAGATTATGAAATATGGTTATTAATTATTATAGCTTTGATTTCTAGGTTCAAAAAGAATTCAAATCCCAAATTTTCCACTGTATTTTAAGATGTCTTCATACGAATCCAGAGATTCTTAACACTTACTTGCTGTCATTCAGCCTTCATTTTCTTGCTCATCTTGACACTCTTTTAAGGAATACTTTCCTCAATTGTTTGATCCACCATTGTGATTGGACTTAGCAGTCTTCTGATTAAGTCACTGTTTACAAATCCAGGATTTAGGAGTCTGGATGTCCTAACCTTCCTGAGCCACTCCTGCATCTATAATCTTATTTCTGACAGAAGAGACATATCTGCATATATCAGATATCCAGCTCCAGAGCCATTGCTCCCTATTTTTGTCATGTTGGTGTTAGAGATTGCTCTGTAAGTTTTTCTGCATATTGTTTGTCCAAGATGTGACTTAGGCAACTGTAAGCTTGTATGCAGGGACCAAAAAAGCACTTGTCTGCAAATATGCTGATCACTGATACTTTAGGTATCCACAGATTTCAGAAATAGAATCATAGAATCATAGAATAGGTAGGGTTGGAAAAGACCTTAAGATTATCTAGTTCCACCCCCCCTGCCATACAATCCTTGATACCTTTATGTTAAGTTGTTTAAGGATAGACACTGTGAATTGCTGATGGCTAAAAAGCGAGCTCCTTCTTGACTCAAAAGACGTTGTACTTTTCATTTGAGCAATGTAGGTTTATGGTCTTTGGAAAATTAACAGATTCAAACTTGTTCTAACTGAGCATATGTTGATTCACAAACCAGCTTCCAGGTCATGTGATGGGAAAGTTAAATGGATTAATAGGGAAAAGAAGAAGGAAAAAAGAAGTTCATACTCAGAATTCTGTCATGACTACTATGATTAAATGATCAGCATTATCTTAGTCTCTAAAACCCTACTAAAGAACAGTGGTGAAGGACAATAAAGTGCATTAGAACATAAGCCAGTTTTCTTTGACATATAGATCACTTGAAAGGATCCCTATAACTCCCAGAGGAAAAATTTCCCAGATGGCCTGATGCATTATGTCAGTGGTTTGAACTAGCTGTACTATTTCTTCCAAAGAATACTGGAAAAGGCTTCTAGTGTCTTTTTGTTATATGAGAATTCAAGTTCTGTAAGCACTAATGGAAATTTCTCAAGTAAATTCCATGCAAACTTAGATGAGAACACCTCTTTCATTCTATTCTGGTGTTTCTTTTAAAATATCAACAAAATATTAAGTCCAGCACACATCTTCATTATTTCATGCCACCTAAACATCTATAGGCATAACTACATTACTTTGAATTTCATGCACAGGGGTATTTTACCCTTTTTTACTTAAAATAATCTTGTGGCTTTACTATATATATTGGCTTATTTATTTTAAATCTGACATTTTTATAGCCATGCCATTTACAAATTAAAGAACTAGTATATATTTTTTGCCTTGGGAAACAATAAAAAGTTATTTTTTTACATAACTTTTTGCCAGAATCATGGAAGTCTTTAGAAAATCTTTCAGCAGGTAATGTGGCAGTAGGATTTAATTACCATTTATATCACAGAAGTCCATAGACACACAGTCCTGGTTACAGGATCTCATTGTGGTAGATGCTGTTGAAACCCAATTCTTTCTTCATTCTCAAGATAAGTACCTTCTGGGCCATGGCAGTGCAAAATACCCCATTCTTCTCAAGGTTGTCCTAGAATGCTGAACTGTTGCTGATTGTCTGGGTAAGATAAGCTCACAATGTGTTTCTCTTGTCTACAAAAAGCAGACTCTAATAATTTAAGCTGTGAATCAAGTAATAACTTTTGGTCACCATCAGCATGGGCAAGATTTGAACTGATGACTTAGATTGAAACATGCTAAATTCTAGCATCACCCACAGCATTGCAAGCTGTACGATGAAAAGAAAAAAGAAGGTATTTTCTGTTGCGTGGGTAGTGTGCTTTAAATGTGAAAGAGTCTTCCTAGCTGTGGCAGCAAACAGCTTTGAGGTAATTGCTATTTTGTGTTTCAGTTCAGAGACAGACGTTAAAATGAGTCATTGGCTTCTGTTTCTGCCTTCTGAGCTGGCCCCTCTTCATGTACAGGTTTACTGGTTTTAAAGGGACTGTGTACTGGTACAGCTGCTCCCAGTAAAAGAGAATATGCAGCATAGGGGAAAAATATTCCCACATATTTTCCTGGTAAAAGTTCGGTGATTTTGTATACAATTTATGCAGTTATACGCTATAATAGCTTTAACTGCAAAATACACAAAATACAGTAGTTCCTGTAGTGATTACACAGGATACTTAGTGTTTACATTCATACTTATTTATTTGTCACTTTGATTAAATGCATGCTTGTTAAGGAGAAGTCTTGCTCTGAGGTTTCAGTCTTTTCCTCTTTTATGTTTCTTTTCAATTTACTTTAGAAATTTGTGTCAGTCTTGAGCACTCTTTTTGTCTGCCATGCACGGGAGAGGTATTACCCCAAATTCTGCTGTGGGAACTCTCTGCTTCAGCTGCCTTTAATAGGATCACGCTTTTTAAAAATAAGTCTTATACTCATATAAAAATTTAGATAGAAAACTAAATTACATCAGCAGTGAAAAATCGTATGACTGAAACATCAATTCTAATTTCAAAGCATTTCTTGAGACAATGCAAAATGTAATTCTATTGCTGAAGTGAGGCAAGGCCGTTCTGGGACAAAACTAATATAGAAGTCTGACAAATATTGTTAATAATCCACTGATATGTATAACTGATGAGAACAGTGTTGACAGCACCATATTGCAAGAAAGAATCATAGCCTGATGGGAACATTACAAGCCACTGGTAGAAATGTGCAAGAGCCTCTAATGCTGTTAGAGTTGCCACCATAGTGATGGACCAGATTCTCAGGAGCTGACATCTTCATAAATCAGAAGCTCTCTGGTACCACAACAGGTCCTTGGTTTGACTAATATATGATTACAGCTGAGGACTGTAGCATGGCAGAAGTCATGCTAAGCAATAACCTGTCCATGCTGTTGGCACTTTGGAGGCCAGAGATAACAAAGGGAACTCTGGCAGTCTTGGCTGCTTCTTCTACAAAACATTAACTGTAAAACCCAGCTGAATTCAAAAGCCATTTAGGATTTAAAAACAATACTGTATGTGTCTATTCGAATTTTCAAGTGAATTGGAAATCTTGTTTCCTACATTATCAAATTAAACACTACCTATTGGAAAAATATTTGCCCACTGACAAATGGATATCTACATAATGGACATTTACAGATGGATCTCCTTGGATGAATTTCTGCCCCATTAACAACTTGTGTACATACACAGTTCCAGATTTTCATTTTAAAAGCCGTAATTAAAGTGTAAATATTGTTGGCTAATGTAGTTGGCTGTCAATATGCACTTGTTACGGAAAATGTGACATACGTCATTAAATAAGAGAGCATAACATGTTATTTATAATTATGTAGGAATATGGTGTTCAGCTTAAGACTTGTTTATGTATTGTTGTGCACAGTTTTTAAATGTTGTGTTGCTGTATAGCTTGATTTTCTGATTCTTGGAAGTCAGAGTGTGTCCTGGGTTCAGCTGTAACAGTCAATTTTCTTCCTAGTAGCTGGTGCAGGGCTGTGTTTTGGCTTCAGTCTGAGAACAATGCTGATAACACAATGATATTGTAGTTGTTGCTCAGTAGCATTTACCCTGATCAAGGACTTTTCAGTCTCATGCTCTGCAGTGAGGAGGGGCACAGGAATCCGGGAAGGAGCAAATACAGGACACCTGACCCAAACTAGCCAAAGGGGTATTCCATAGCACAGCATGTCATGACCAGAATGAAAACTGAGGTAGTCATCCAGAAGGGACCAATCCCTGCTCAGCTCAGGCTGGGTATCGGACAGCAGGCTTCAGCCACGACAGAGTGCTACACTTATTTTCATATGAATCAATCTGATCACACCATGATGAAATACATTTTTCTAGCGAGAATTTCACCTTTGTGTGTCTCATGCAGGCAGGGGAAGATTTTCTACTCCTCCAGTGCTTCATTTTAAGTGCTCGTTCTTTTTTTGAATGATATAATGACAACCTTATGCCCTCTGGAAACCTAATTGTCTTTTGAAATTAAGCTGAACTTGTCACTTAAGGAATGGTTTTATCTTTTGTATGTAAATTAGGGCAGAGTGCATTTTTGTTAATTTTTAATAAAAATGAATGTCTGAGTAGAAGACATTATCAAAGGAACAGACAAAATTACTCTAGGAGTCTTATTTTATTTGTAGTTGATGGAATATGTCTTTGATATCCTTATTTACATAGATTAGCACTTTATTCCATAATTGGAGCCTTCATCTTGAGTAATTGACTCTTCCTTCCTTAGACAAAGAAATGTATAACTTAGAGTCCTGGATATGAGAGAGGGAATAGAAGTTCCTGATGTAGCAGATGGGAGCATCCACAACCCTTACAAACAGGAGATGTACAGACATACATATGATAAAAGTATTAGTGTATAAGAAGAAATTCTGGACATGGAGATGGCTAGCTCAGCGTAGTCTGGGGAAAGGCTGGAAGGGATGCAGTGTGCCCCGTTGCAAAAAATTATCTCATGTTACAGGATACAACGTGCAGGCAGCCACAAGCTTGATGTGCAACTTACCACATTTAGTAGAAAGGTGATTTCAGATACTGCAGTTGTGAAGGGAAGCATTTCCAACCAGAAGGGAGCAAGAAACAGTCTTCTATTGCTGTAATGTTCACTGTGCAGTCTACATAGGAGTCACTCAACAAAGGTTCTTAGTGTTGCAACAGGAATGGTTTAAATATGAGGGAAATCAAGCAGTTCTTTTACTTATAGCTTGTGTGTGCATTTTTATGTAGTTTTATAGCAGAAGTGAGTATTACTGAACACTTCAGTACTGATCACCAAGGTGTTCAGGGTCAGGTACACTTACATGCTCAGCACGTTGCCAGCATTGCCAGTCACAGATTTCATGGAATCATATGGACCAGAAAAGACCTCTGGAGAGCCTCTAGTCCAGGTCAAAGCAGGCTCACCTCTAATGTCTAGGACATTGTTCAGTTAAGCTCCGAATATCTCTAGTGACAGTGAATCCAGTCAAACGTAGCTGACTGCCTTCAGGGTAAAAAACTGCTTTTTGACATCTACCTAGAACCCTCCCACATTGCAACTGGTGTCCGTTCCCTCTCGTCCCATCCTTGTCCATCTCTGAAGGGAGTCTAGTTGCACCTGCTTTGCTGCAGGTATCTTAAAGGATGGCGTACATACATTCAGCAGGAAAATGCAGCAGTAAGCAAAATGTGAAAGGCACTCTATCTTTTTTCTTATGGGTGGTAAAACTACATCCCTAGAACAAAAGGAAAGTAGGATCTACAAACTCTTTACATGGTAACACTGTATCTCTCATACATATTTGTCCTTATTGCCTCCTCTGAATCTCAGTTCAAAGTAAAGGAATTAAGTAGAATGTATTTCAGGTGAGGCTGTTTTAAAAATTGTCAAGAAACTACCATCTTTCAGTTACAAGTTTTTGCACATTTAATGAGCTGTGGATGCAAAGCCTAAACTGAACATATGATCTATGTAAAAAAAAATTGCAATAATTTAATTTACCAAATATTTAGCTTACAAACAGTATAGACATTCTGATGAATGGGGGAAGCACTGTAGCTGTACTAGTAATTAAAAATAGTGCAGGCATACTAACACAGTTTAGCAATGTAAGGATATTTCAAAATAGGGATTGGTATTTCCAAAGGAACACTCAAGTCAGATGCCAAAACTCAGGTATTTTTAATGTTGAAGCAGAAGGTGACTCTCTGTGCTGCAAGCAAGAGACACGTGTGAGACAGAGAAAGAAACACATGCTTTTGGCACCTATCTTCTTTATTTTTCGTAATCCACACGAGTGGCTCTAGAAAAGTAAATTAGTTGGAATTGTGGTAGCCAGGGACAGCAAAAAACCTGATTTTCAGGGACTTCCACAAGAGAGATCTTGCCACAGTGCTTACATTGTTTCTAGCAACATGTCTTCTTTTCCTGGACTGAATTCCTTATTTACCTTTCAGTGTCCAATCTTCCTGTGGAAGACCCTGTCGATTGCAGCAGGAATAATAATCATGCTTCAGCATTTATACGGCTTAAAACATACACATTCTATTCTATTCAATAGCCAGATGACATCAGAACCCAATGACCTGGAACAGTATAGCACAGATGAAGGCAAGATAATGTTCTCTGGGAAAGTCCAAGCTCACTTTGCTTTTTCCACCTTTTTGTGTGTGTGTTGTGTGTTTCCAAGGCTGTCTACCATTACATGTTCTGACTTATCCTCTGGATCCACCTTTTGCTCTACTCCAGGGCCTAGACCAGGCTCCTAACTTAAATACTTTAATTAGTTGCCTACATTTAAATTATATGGCCATCATACCATGTATATATTTTTGGATATTAAAGATCCTCTAGTCACTTTCAGCAACTCCCTGGATGTGTAGCTGCAGCATCCAGAATAAATACTGCATGATCTACCTCAACTCAACCTCTCCTCTTGAGAAGATAACAAGAGGTTTTAATGGCACCTAGGAAATAGAGTATGTTATATACATTTGTAACACTAGAAATGGTAATACAGATTTAGAAGAAAAATGCTGCGAATAGTGAAGCTCACCTGAATAGAGAGTTAGTCTTAGAACTTCACACTTTAAACGCCGGATCTGATCTTTCACATACTAAATATATATTTTAATGCAGGTGTTTGAGTCTAGGAATCAAAGATCTGAAATGTCAGACTGGGAAAGCAATGAAACCTTGACTTGTACCACTGGCATGCATCTGATCTCACTGCTGTTTTACCAAATTAGTCCTGCCTCATTTGATGACTGACCTTAGTATGAATCAGGGCAATCTTACCGTGCCTTTTTGCTGTTCTGAAGTCCCACCTCAACAATACACTTTGAATTGAAGCTTTATGTGCACCAATACTGACGTGTCTTTTCCTCATCCTGCTCACACAAGCATTTCATCAGGTGGCATATTGCTCATAGCACAAATAGTTGGCACACTCAGTTCCTCTGTATAGACTTTGCTATTCAAGCAAAGAACATCTGTCTTGTTGGCCATGTTCACAGGCAGTTATTGAAAGACTGGAGAGACATCATGTGCTTTTTTATTGTAGGATCTGGACTGCATCTTGCAATGGAAGTAAATGTTGTTCCAAGCAAACTCTGCTTATAGACCAGTGACTCTGACCTGTGAGAGGTCCTGTGCTTGGAAGCTGTTAACACACAAACCTCGACTCTAATGCTTCAGCAGACTGTTAAATTAGCTTTTCCTTTTTTAACATTTTTTTAATTATTCTGTTATTCTTTTTAATATACTAGCCAAATTTTCTGAATTTGGGCAAACAGTGCCAATACAAAAACCAGTTTTCCAGTGCTCTCTGACTCTGCTAGCCATTTTGGAGGACTCTTCATTCTTATCAAAAAATCACTGAAATACGTATGGGCAAAAAATCAGGCTTGAAAATGCTTGATTAAATTTGGCTGAAACTTCAGAGTTTTGCAAAGTGTTTAATAGTTGAAAAGCAGTTTTGTGCGGAAGTGAATGAATCAAACAGTAGTAGCTGTAATGAATAAGCCATTGATTTCACTGAGAGTGTTTATGTGGGTCATTATACCCTTTTACAGGTACCTAAGGGTTTTGGGGACTTGTATATATCTCAAAAGTGTTCAGGAGCAGCTCTTATTAAATTTATCTTGAATTTATTTGGGAAGCAGAAAAAGTACTGTACAATGCAGAGCTACTTCCCATTTAAAACTTTGTAATAAGCAAGTCAGAAATTTCACTGTGTCCTTCAAATGTTCACTAGAAAAGAAAATATTCTTTAATATTTCAGTGTGTTACACTTACTGCTGTCAGGTAGGTGATTTATGGGTTTCTTGTTTTGCCAATTCACCAGCACACTGACAAAGAATACCATTTTGATCACCTTATCCTAATTAGCCTTAATTATAGCCTTCTTCACAAGGTAGTCTTTAGATGTGCTCACATATATATTTATCTGCAGGGCATTATTGTGAGTATAGGAGGACACTGTTCATTGATTTGCATAAAGAGGCTTTGGAGTTGTCATCTGGCTTTTATTCAGAGTAGCAATAATCTCAGACACTTAAAAAGCCTGCAGACACCTCACACTGTCACATTTGGCGATGGTAAAATATAGGTCACTAATTACACACAGGAACCAAGTACGAAATAACTTGCAGACTGTTTATTTGAGTACGTGTGGGCAGCGCACACTTTGCAGAAACAGGATTCACAGCATTTGCGTGAAGAACTTATTAAAGGAATAAATCTGTAGTATATGCAAAATAAAAAACGAGAGACTCAATGGGAGAATGCTTGGGAGTAGTTGGCCAACGCTGAAGAAGGGAAGTCTGTTCTGTTTAAACAGCCCTGCTCATGCTAGTGAACAGGCTGCCCAGGGCAGTGGTAGAATCACCATCCCTGGAAGTGTTCACACACAGGGTGAGGTCTGTGATATGCGTTACTGGTGGACTTGGCAATCCTGGGGTAGAGGTTGGAATTCATCATCTTTAAGGCCTTTTCCAACCTGACCGATTCTGTGATCAAAACGTGCCTCTGACAGAGTATACTGAAATTACTTAGGGAATTTATGCCGTATAGAATTTAAGCACTGCTGACAGCGCATTCGCCAGTTAATTTTTATCTAGCACCATCATGTTAAAACCGATCCTCAATTTCAGTGTCCCTCTACAACCTAGATAAAACCACCTAGCTACATGTGCTAACAACGCGTGTGAACAGGGAACATTTACGTGTAGCACCACTTGTTTCGGGTTCTCTGGTGGAGAAAAGAGCCATCGCCCCCTGCAACCGCTCCGCGCTCCTCGGCGGCCCCGCGCTTCCAGCCGCTCCCGTCACAACTCCCGCTCTTCCCGCACCACCCGGTCCACCGGGGCTCCCCGGGGTCTCCGCCACAGCCGATGGGGAGAGCACTAACCCCGAGGGGCCCCCATCACCGCCACCGGCCCCCCCCAGCCCAGCCCAGCCGCGCCGCGCCGCAACAAAAGGCAACGCCGAGCACCAGGTGGCGGCCGCTGCCCGCCCACTGACAGTAGGGGGCGCTCGAACTTCACCATGCAGCGCTGCCGCTTGCCCTCTCCTAACCGGCACCTCGGGGCCGCCCCGCTCTCGGCGTGGCGCTGGCCGGTCACCCCGTGCCCCGTTCTGACACCCGTTTCGTTCCGCGATGCTCCTTCCTGCGTGTTCCTGGCTTTCTCTGGGGCAACTGGGCAGCCCTGTCGTGCTCATAGGGACTGATCTCCCTCGTTCCCTCACCGCCTCCTGCCGGGGTCGCGGTCGGTCCCGGGAAACTTTCCCGCTGCCGGGAGCTGCGCCTCAGCCAAGGGGCCTGGGGAAGGGCAGAGAGGCGGCTCGTTCCTGGCTCTCTGCTGAGCAAACCCACAGTCCTATAGACTTAATAGGTCGCGTGTCATCCATTCTATTTTATATATTTTATATATGTTTTATTGTTTTCACCTTTTTCCGCACAGCGGATGAGCAGAGAAATCCCTGGAGAAGACCCTTTCCAAGGGTCTCGCTCCCAAGCGCGCAGGGAACGAGCGGAGAGAGGGAATGAATAATTAGAGCCCAGTTCCATGAAACCACTTACCGAAAAATTAGCTGCCCATTAAACCGGGAAGCGGCGGGGAGCACCCATGGAAATCCTACCTATGGCCAACGGCGGCGGAGCGGCAGGGGGGCAGGGCCGTGCCCGCAGCCAGCCCCGTTCCCCGTCCCGCCGCCCTGCCCCGGCAGACAGGGACTCGGGGGTGTGGAGCGCCGCGCTCTAGTCCACACCCCGCAGCCTCCCTTCCCCAGGCAGCCGCACTCATTCTCCTCCCTCCCTCTCCCTGCAGCCGGTGTGTCCGCGGCGGCAGGAGGCGGAGGCAGCGGGAGGGGAGAGAGGAGGGGAGCGGAGCGGAGCGGAGCCGGGCTGCCGGGGCCGCCCGGGAGAGCTGCTGCTGCCGCCGGTGCCGGTGCTGCCTTGGCGGCGGGAGGCCCCGCACCCCCGGCAGCCACATCTGCAGGGCAAGCAGCCCGCCGCCGCTCCCGCCTGTCCTCCTTCAGTTTCCGCTCTGGGCTTCAGTGAGGAGGTGTAGGGGACAGGGGTTTGTTTCGAGGGGATACTGAGGAAGCCGTTCCCCTCCCGTAGCACATTGCCTAGGCGTTCCTATTATGGAAGTTAAGTGAGAAACTCTGCAGCTTGAACTGATTTGGTAGAGAAAGAGAGAGAAAGGGGTAGGGGGAGGGCAAGAGGAACGCAAAATTAGCCAAACCAAACCAATGATTTTCCTGCAAAGTGCTGGGAAGTTTGTGGAGCACGTTCTAGGAATCACGTCCTTTCTCAGAGTCTTTCCTTGTCTTCCGAAGAAAGAGCTCGCTTTTGGATTGCCATGGATCCTAAAGAGAGTCTTAGACACACTTGAATAATTCCTCTGCCGGGGCTGGATTGGTGGGAATTTAGGAAGGAGCGTGTGTGTGCAAAGCAGAATCTGCCTCCGGAGCTCACTCGCTGCTCTAATCTGTATGGATCTAAAAGTGTCACATTCAAGACCTTTCCATCTGCAGCTTTTGATTTCAAGATTTCCCTTTCCACTTTAAGTAGCTGCTAGGAAACTGAAAACTTTTGGACCTACCTCTTACTGGCTTTGGATACTTTTTTTTTCCTTTTTTTTTTTTTTTTTTATTCGTGTGGTATTGGTCTCGCAAGCGATCGGGATTGCCTTTAATATGTCAAAATGGGTCTGCTGACGCCACTCTTGCTCTTTGGATTTGCATTTCTCCAAGTCTATGGTAAGTTCCCTTATTTTAGAGATGCCGTTTCTGTGCAGAAATCCCCTTCATCTGGCTCTGATTTGGGACAGCACATGTGGACGGCATTATAAGCTTTAACATTACAGAGCCTTAAGTTTGTTTCTGGTATAAAAATGGTATGGGGAGGTGGGGGGAAATATATGCTTCCAATAAGCAGTCCTTCCCGTCTGCGAACTTAATGGAAAAGCAGCTTGTGAATAGAAGGATGTCAGCTTGAGGTAGTGAGGAAAGAGGAAAAACTACAGTGCTAAATCTTTCTACTTCGGGGTGGTGGTGGTGGGTGGAAGTGGGGAGGAAGAGAGAAAAAGCAGAGCGCTGCTGTAGCTGGTTTTACTTTGCCTCCTTCTATTGT